TATCGAGAACTCTTATACTCCAAATGGTTATCCTTAAAACCTTTTTGTCGATGCAATTTCCACTTCCAGCTTTCTCATCAGTTGTATAATCTCAGTTGATTTGGATGTTGGAATTTGACTCTCAACCTTATTCCCTACAAAATCATTGCTCCTCATTGATCCAAAGATCTTTGGTAATTCTTGTTTTGTTTGTGAAACCCGACCACACGTAACTAAGTTGGATCCAAAGTCCTTAAAGCATGTCTTTCTTGGTTAGTCCTAGATCCAAAAAGGATATAAATGTTTTTCTTCTACACTTAATAGATATATTTTATCTTGGTATGTTAAATTTCATGAAAATCTACCCTTCTTTCATGTGTTCGGATCATGAAATCATAGGGACAGTGATGACCAAGGGGCTCTTAGACTAGCTGTATTAGGTTTTTAAAGGCGTCCTCCCTTAAGGGGCTGAGGGTACATGTAACAACCTGAATTTTCCTGTTTTGTCATCGAGGTTAGTTTATGTTATGTATTTTCTTAAGTTAACCTTTTATCTTAGTTGAAGTTAGGTTACAAGGGCCAGAGTGTAAGAAAACGATCATTGATCATGTATATGGACCATGGGGTCATTTTCTCATACATTGAGGGCTTAGTTTGTAACTTATAGAGTATATAACATATCCCAACCCTAAAATCCAGGAATTTCATTCCATTTGCAGCCGACAAACCCTAGAGTGAGAGAGTGTTCTTGAGTGCTTTCCATAATTAGAGTAGAAGTCATTGAAGTGAAGATTGTTGCCCATTTTGGTGGAGTTTGGTGGTGTTCATTAGATTGTGTCCTCTCTATCCAATCCCTAGTGTTCTTAAGAATATTCCAGAAGGTATGTGTACTTTCCTTGAGCTCTTTACTATTCCTTTAAGTCACAATCAATAGATATCCACAGATTGTGAGAAATCCATGGTATAAAGTGTTGTGTTGATCCTCAAAGTGTTCTAACCATTATGGACACTTAATCATAACATGGTATGGTTGAAATCCTCCCTAAATGGTTTTTGATCAAACATGAGAGGGTAGATCATCGGAAAACATTTTTGTAAGGGTCAATTTTCCCACGGGTGACACACCGGTGTCTGCGGCGCGGTGAAGGAGTTTGTGTTTTTCCGATTCGCGATTTGTCGACCAAACCATGGCATGGTCTCACACTACTCGCGGCGCGGAACTGCGTTGTGTTGGCCACTTTCTGTTTTAGGGATCGTTTTTTAAAGGCTTTTATATACTCTTTTTAGGGTGCTTAATTTCTTCCAGAAAGAGTGTCTTCCTCTCTTCATTTCTTCCCATAACTTGGACTAGAGGTGAATCATCTTATCTTGTAATTCTAGTACTTTGTTGCGGAAATCTCATATCCTAGAATGTGTGAATTGATACTAGGATGTTATCGGAATTATGTGCCTGATTGTGAATGATGTATATGTTCGAAATGTCTTGTTCTTTACTATGGAAGGAATGTCTAGGGTGTATTGCCTGCTAGATATTTGATATTATGTTTGTGTGTGAATTGTGTGAATATGATCATGCTAGAAAGAGGGGTATAATTTGATTATGATATGTGATGTATGCATACTATGTTTTTCCGGAAATTATTTTGTCTATGATTATCACAATGCATGCTAGTGATATAACATGCCTATTAAAGTGATGATGTGGTATGCATGATTATATTATGATGAGAATACTGTATGTATTTAATAATAAAACTAATATGGGGAAACATACTTAGAGGGGTGAGGGTAGCAACCTAGACTTAGGTGTTCATCCTACTCGGATTTTCTGATGGCCTAATAGGTTGAAATAATACCGATAGCATAAGCGCTTAAGCCAAGTCTGAAGTTGAGTGGTTTTTTTGAGGCAGTCATTTTGTACATGGTCCATTGATGCTGGGACAGTATTAGTGTTGGCGATTAATGGATGCCAAGTACAAACATCATGTTTGAGTAAGAAGTATCTAATTACAGAAAGATAACAATAAGTACCACTCTCGAACAACAACTCATGTACTTGTATATGCATTGTCGAAGTAGTGAACGCATCACACGGGGGACAGATAACAAGTACCACTCTTAATCTAAAACTCATGTACTTGTATATGCATCGTCGGAGTAGTAAAACAACACACCGGGGACAACATTACTAGTGAGAGTAATGCCTCAGTTACTACATTAGGTCGATTCGGTCACGTTAGTAGTGAATGGGGTATTTCCTTTTGGGTTAATGATAAACATAAAGACTCATAATAAGGAAGTAAAGCGATAATAATGAAGATTAATATTTAAAAATATTATAGTGATGAAAAGTGATGAATAATATAATGATTAATGAAGAGTAATTATTAATGAAGATTAGAACGATGACTAATATCAACTTATTATAGTGATAAAAATATGAAGTATGTGTTGTGGTACAATTTATGAAACCGATTACATGTTATGTGATAATGAAATGACCCGTTTTTTGGGATATTCATGTTTTTTTAACATTGTACTTTTGATGTACTCACTTAGTAGTTTCTAACACTTGTTCTTTTCTTGTTGTTTTTGCCTTGCATTTGTTCACATATTGTGATTGATTGGCTTGGTGAGGATGGGGCTTTTTGGGTAGTTATGTTCTTTATAGTAGTCGATTGTTGAGATTTCATTTACAGTTGGTTTTCGCAAACTTAAACTATTTTTTAGTGTTGTTTTTTTATGGCAATGTAACTTTGGTGATGTTTTTGAAATAAACGAAAAATAAGACTTATGTTAACGTATTATGTTTTAAATGTTCTTTTAAATAAAAATGAGGTGAAAAATCACGACTTTATAGTTCACGTCTCGTGGTGGACAAAGGTGTAATATAGGAATAGGATTAAAGGGTGTATTAGCCATTCCAAAAAAAAGACACTAGCAACTTGTTGGTATATCATACTAGTTCCCAATCCACCTCCACATAAGGCATCCACCCCATCCGCCTCCACTCAACCTCAAGATTTTGTTAGGCAACCAATTCCTCATATCTACCATATGTGAAAACTTTCTACATTAAATTTTGATCCGCTGCCATCTTTCTCGACAGATCAACCTAGCAATGAACCTCATGCCTCTGGTGCTCTATCACATGCAAATACACATGTCCCCTACCTTGATGTTCTCATTTCCATTTAAAAAGGTAAGCATTTTTGTACTTACCTTATTGCCTTTTTTATTTCCTATGATAAGATATTTGTAAATTCTTGATATTTGGTTTCTACATTCGACTCTATTTGTATCCCTAAAACAGTTAATGAAGTTTTGACCCATCCTGGATGACGAGATGTCATGATTGAAGAAATGAATGCTCTTAATCATAACGGTACATGGGTATTGACATACTTACCTTTAGATAAATAGGTGATTGGTTGTAAGCGAGTATTTACTGTGAAAGTTAATCCAAACGGTTCGATGGCTCAACTAAAGGCACAACATCTTGTAAAAGGAATGAAGGATATGTTCAAACCTATGAAGTAGATTAGTCATACACCGTTTTTTTGGTGGCTAAGTTATCCTCCATCCATCTATCTGTCTTTCTCTGCCATGTATGACTAGACCCTTTACCAGCTAGATGTCAAAAATACATTTTTACATGGTGATTTACATGAGGATGTTTACATGGAGTAACCACTCTATTTTGTTGCTCAAGGGGAGCAAGGGGAGTATGGTAAAGTCTGAAAATTACAAAAATCTATGTATGGTATAAAGCAGCCCCCTTGTGTTTGCTTTGGATGATTTAACATGGTGATAATAGATTTTTGGCTTACAGAGAAGCTCATATGAACACTCGATATTAGTTACTTCGTCTTCTTCTAGATGCATCTTGTTGTATATGTTGATGTGATTACTAGCAATAATGAGGCTAGAATAAAGAAATTAAAATATTTCCTTACATCTCGTTTTTCAAACAAAAGATCAGGTTCCTTTGAAATACTTTCGGGGAATCAGAGTCTTTAGTACTCATAAAGGATTCCTTTTATTTTAACAAAAGTATTGTCGGGATATGTTAAATCTCGTTTGATTAAATCAATATGTGTGAAGTTCCTATGATTATGAATCCCCCCCCCCCCCCCCCCCGGAGAATCAAGAAAAATGTAGAAGAATTATGGGAAAGCTGAACTATTTGACAATAACACAACCGAACATTGTGTTCCTGATTGATATAGTTAGGCAATTTTTGTTATCTCCAAGAAGCTCACATTGGGATGTTGTTGCCCAATTATGAAATATTTTAAGCGTTCATTGAATTTAAGTATTTATACCAAACTCATGTCATCATGGTATGTAAGGGTTTACATATTTCAACTATGATGGTGACCCTACAAACCAGCAGTCACCACTACATGATACTGTGTTTTTGAAGTGGAAAATCTAGTTTCTTGGAAGAGTAAAAAACAAAATGTTGTGTTCTCGGAAGAGTGCAAAATGTGAAACCAAGGCTACGGCTGAAGATACGATTAGGAAATCTACTTGTCGAAATTGATTTCCCTATATCCAAGCCAATGAACTTATGTTTTGAAAATCAAACAACCATTCACATTGCAAACAATATTGTTTTTCATAAGAGGACCAACCACGTTGAAGTTGATTGTCACTTCACACGCAAATAGATTGACGATAGAACTATCACTACATCTCATGTTCACTATGTCTCATGTTCGAACGACAAACTAGCTTCCTAATGTCTTCAATATTAAAGCAATAATTAGGAGAAAATTTTCTAATATTCGAAACAAGTTGAACATTATTAACAACTATGCTCAAACTTGAAGAGAAGTATTAGAATCTATATATATTATATTTCTCCAGGTAGGCCCGTTGAGCACACGGGCCGACTTTTCTTTGAATTAGGGTTTCCCTCTATCTATATATTATGTACGTACCTTCCCTTGTTTTAGATCAAGACGATAAACATAAGTATTAATGAGTCTCCATTCAATACAAAAATATATAGTTACCTCATCTAACGTATGCCCGCCTTTGACTAGAACAGAGTAGTAAACCATCTCAGATCTACCATTGATGGTTGCCTCTCTCTCATCTATATAAGCGACACGTAAAGAAGGATATCTGACCGTTCAAAATATAATTAATTAAAAAATATACTTTTAAATTTTTGATTAATATACGATCATGATCACATAAATGATAAATACACTTACGTCAGCATGAGATTCAAGATGTTAGTATAACACCTTTGATCTCTCTCCTCACTGGATTTCTTTTGAGCACCATAAATCTGGCATGAGACAACATAGGTGAACTTCAAATCAGCCCATTGCACTTGCACGTTCTTTGAGATCCATGTGATGGTGAGTCATGTTCAATGTCCGGAATCCAGTAAAAATCTCTATGGAAAAAACTTAAATTATTTAAAAAATATACCGACACTCAAATTTTTTTAATGGATCACACTAACCATCGTCTTCTGAATAGTCTAGGAAGCATTGAAGTTGAAGAGCTTCCTTATAGTACATCATCCCTCTCACTGAGAAATTTTTGTGAATGAGCTTCTAAATATATAAAATGTAAACTTTTAATTAAACTAGCATGCAAAGAGACAAACCTGTTCTGGAAAGAGTCTGCCCCCTATAAGAAACCCATTGACGTGTGGCTTCTGTTTTATCTCCTCCATATATACCTTTAGTTCGCTCTTCAAAATTCTTCCATTCATCTGGTTTTGCATTAACAACCAAGAAAAAAAATAATGTATTTTGATACTATATAAAGAGGACAACAGTCAAAACTAGCTAATATCAATAGTCACCTGGAGATATCTTCTGGAGGTAAAACAAAATTGAAATTCCATCTTCATTTTCCTTGTGAAGCTCTTCTTCTGAATAGAGGACATCTTCTTTGTAGTACGGAGTCAAAACACTGACGTTTACATAAACAACAAAATATAATCTTAAGGATAATAATGTAGGGCATCCATGAGTGAAATATAAGAGTGGTTGGAAAATTGCTGACCTAAATGAGAGCATGTCACGGACAATTGGAGCATTTGGCATTTTCATATATAAGGAGTTTGCAAAGAAGGTGATACGCCTACGAGCTTCCAAATTTCTAGGCACATCAAATGCGGATTCCTTAACAGTCAAAAGCATAAGAAGCCTTACCACCTAGGCGCACAAATGGAAAATTAGAAAAAGGAATAATAAGAACAAAATTGTGAGTGTCCAGATGGCAGACGATACCTTTTCCTTCCATGATCTGATTTGCGTTAATCGGACATTGATTCGTGCAAATATTTCCTCTCTGTCATTATAATGATGATGAGCGTGAGCTCGTTCAAGTATCCTACAAAAGGACACAAAATAAATTTTACAACAGAATATTTAATGGTCAGTCCAAAATAAAAGACTTACTCGTGCCCGTTATTGATCATAACATCTTGTATGATAATCTCCATGACATCCTGAAAAACATTGATGATTTGGGATGTGTATTTCTCATCATCAACATTGTCTGCTAGCTGGCAGACACCCAATGGAGTAATCAGAAAAATAATTAAAAAAAAAAAAATCTAAGGAATATATTAACCAAGGTTCTAAATAACGTAAGGCGTGACTTGGCGGCAATGTCAAGCCTCAAGCTTTTCCGAGCCTTGGCGAGTCACGTCGTTTGTAAGTCGTGACTTAAGGCGGTAATTTTGTGTATAATTCATATTTTTATATGTATTTTCTACTATTATTCATTTTTATACACATATATGAGTCAAGGCGGCGTTTTGGTAAAGCTTGGCGGCACATACAAGCCTTGGAGTCATGGCGCGCCATGGCGGAGCCATGGCGAGCTTTTTAGAACCTTGATATTAACAATGACAATGAATAATAGCCCGCAATTTAAAAGAAATGCCTCGTCTTACCAGATGATCCAAGAACTTCACCAGCTTATCATTTAGTAAAGGCAATTCGCTCATACGAAATTTATTCAAAAACATTCGCTGTTGAATGCTAGTTTCTATTTCATGGCATATACGCTGTATGATCCTGTAAAAAGAAAATGAAAATGAAATAGATTTTCTAACTACTTGTAAGTATAAATTTGCAACAGGATCAAGATGTACGCCTTACATATTATCTCGGTCATCATCAATGAGTTCAAATAATATTTCCTTAAGTGTTTGGTAGCATTCCATCACTGCTGACCGCATATAATCATCACCAATGATCCTCCGGAACAGGTCTCCATCTTCCTTTCCTTTGAAATCTTTGGCCATGTCTAATGCAATGGGGATCTTAAGTGGCAAAAAGTCAAACCATGATTACGTTTAACTTCAGATAAACAATAACAAAAAGACGTCAAGCAAAGGCATGGAGGATTTCTACCTTACTAGCAAGCATGAATAGTGGCCACTGGACAACTGGAACATCACTTGTGGTATATGGTACAAGAAGCAGATCTCTCTCACTTCAAAAATAAAACGAATGTCAACAGTATATTCTGCTTCAGTTTGATTCCTTATATTAATAACAACTGTTTAAAACCTGTTGCTGATCAAGTCTTCTATCCGCATTGAAAATATGAATTCGTTCCACACCTGTGAAAATTTTGCTATGCTCTTTCTGGTCACCAATAAATGATCTTCCACGTGATCTCTTTTAGGCTCTTTTTTTTGCACAGGCATAAGGCGTTCACAGAAAGCTAAAGGAACCGATTTAAATCTTGACCGCAGCATGCCAAGTGTCCGTATCTAAGAATCAAACAACACAGAATGATGATGTCATCTTTCTATTTCAAAATTTAGTAAAGTAAAGATATATGCGTACTAACCTCACCCAAGTGACTGAAGGCCCCATAGATTCCACCAATAATAGTAGCATATATCACATACCAAATTTGTGTATCCATGAAATAGACCTAAAATGAAATTACATTGCAATTTACATACATTTAATCGGCCTCATAAATGCAAAACAAAAGTAATTATTTTCAAGAACACTCACCATGACAATTGGAGCCCATATAGAAATAACAACGCCAATATTATGGGTCACTACAAAATGCTCAAATAAGTAAGTAATCAGATCATAATATAGTAAGAATCGCAATTAGAAAAGTTTGTATATAATTTTTAAGATTTTACTGTTGGGAAAGAACTCATGCCACTCGTAGCTGCTAACATGCATTTTCATGATTAACTTTGTGGGCTTGACCAGTGGCAGTATCTATATGAAAATTGCAAATATTTAAGCATAAACTGTCTATAGAAATCATATGCAAACAAGCATTTTCATGATTATACCTCCACATAGTAGCTGAATGCGAACTTGCTTATTAGCAGCACTATCCAAAATAGAGTATACCTAAGATCAACAGTAACAAAGTAAGAAAAAAGAAATTTAAAAAATCACATATCAAACTTTATATCCCTACTTGAATAGAGACAAGATGTCCTCATGCATGCCTCTTCCAACATAGAGTTTTGGCTATAAAAATTTGCAAAATTCAATAATTAAAAACACAAGAAGCATGTAACATCGATACAAACTACCAATCCACACGTAAATGAACTTACTTGTGCCCACCACATTATAAGAGTGAGTATACGCCTATTGGAACTTTCCATGTGTCTCCTTATAGGTGGAAGCAGAAATAGCAAGGCAGCCAGCAAGTTGGGTATCAAGTAAATTGCTATAAGATAATTATAAAGTAATTGCCCTCTCCAATTTCCTCCCAAAGTACTGAAAAACTTCACAAATCCTGTTGGATTTGGAACTGATCTTAAGTAACAAATGGACAAGATTACCATCCAAAAAGCAGCTACAACAAATTTGAAAATATAGCAACGAATCTGTGTAGGTTTTAAGCTCCTCCATGCGTTCAAACTAAGGATTATGTCTAGACTAACTGTGAAGAGAAACCATAAATTACAAAAAGGACAACAGCTAGAAGTAACGAAAGAATGTGCAGGAAGTAAATACATACCTTGGATAAAATTAAGTATGGCATGAGTAATGAATATGCTGAAGATACTTTTGATGACACCTTCATCCAAAATTCCAAAGATTGATCCATCTCCATGCCATGCAACAATGATCATAGCCTACAAGATCAAAAAGAAATGATTCAGATGCTACCAGCCCTAATAAGAAATTATCAACTAATACTAACTGCATGATTCTGTTATATACCTACCTGCAAGACCAATATGAGGAATATCCACATCCGATCAAAACTCCTGTAAAGGTGCAAAAATGAACGCACTTCAACAAAATTTGTTTTAGTCTTCTTTACAACTTGATTGCGCCCCTGCAGATCAATTAAATTTGAGCATTTTTATTTGGTGAATAATGCTAGCTTTAAAGTTGCATAAATGCACACATACTACATGATGGCGCGATGACTCATCGGAGTGAATAAAAAAGTCAGATTTGCGATTCATTGGCCAGCCTAACTTAAAGCATTTGTCAGACCTGCAAGATAAAGAATTAAAGGTTGGTCAATAGTGTCAACATGAATGCCATATTTATAATATAAAGAGTTACCAAAAATATTCATTAAGATCATCATAGTTTCTCCATGAAGCATGGCTTGCATTGCCACCTTGATTTCTCCTGGCTTCCTGCCACCATTAAAAAAATAGTAAGTCTCATTAGGAAAGTAGATTTCATGATACAGGAACAGAACTTATAGTGCAGTCGGATGTTATTACCTTAAGAAGAACATCAAAAATAGGTGAGATGACATCACACAGAAATGCTTCCTCACCAACTGCTGCAGCTTGATTTTTCCCTCCACTTACAGATTGGACTTTGCCAAATAAAGTTTCATGCATTTCTTTTGCCATCTTTTTTGCTCAACGAAAATAAGATCACATCATAAATATAAACAAAATGATAACTGTATTCTTGTAAATATGAACAAAATAATAACATACATTATGAAAAATATAGCAAAGGCATTCAGGCATGAACCGTATGTTTGAAGCTTCACCCCAGATGAGTAGATAGAGTCCAATGTAGAGAAGATGCAACTGCTGCCTATCAGCACTAGGTGGAACCTTATTTGAACTTGAACAAACAAAAAAGATTAAATCCTCATTTTAAAGAACAAGAAACATGCTATGTCATCTTGCTAATAACTTACTCAATGATTGATGTTCGGTGCAAATAATGACACCATGAGACATAGTTCTTGAAAGTAATATCCAATAAATGCTTTACCGTTTGGCTACCCAACTGCAAAAAGTTCCTTATCGGTATTCAGTTCATCTCTAAAGATCAGTAAGCATTGAAGTTCGGTTCAAATATTATAGTGAAAAAGTGGGAGCTTTACCTGTTCATAGTCTTCGACACCCTTCAACCTTCTATGAATATTTGCAAGTAACAATACCAAGTGTTCCCGTTGATTTGCAACGTTTCCTTTCTTCATTTTAGAATAGCAAAAATTTAAACCAGTCATATTTGTAAACAATTTGTGCATAGTTAATTAAATAAAGCGGTTAATGACTACAAGTTACCTGAAAACCAAAAATTGATGATAACCACTCGAGAATATCATTAACAGATTTTTCTGAGTCAGATGGAAGGTTATCCATAGTGCGAATTGCTCGAAGAGCCGCTTTTATCTAATCACATATGAATACTAAAATTAATATATATATATATATATATATATATATATATATATATATATATATATAATACCTCCGTCCCAAATTAATTGTCCACATTCGACTTTTGAAGTATTTATTCTTCAACTTTGACCTTAAATATTTTTGTTTTTGATAGATAATACTTGATGTAAAATATATGAATGAATTTTATTTTAAATTCCTTTTCATTGTTATAAGTTTTATCAAGTAATATATAATACAAATAAAAATATTTAAGATCAAAGTTAAAGAAAAAAGACTTCAAAAGTCAAAAGTGAACAATTAATTTGGGACGGAAGGAGTATATATAATATATATATATATATATAATATATATATATATATATATATATATATATATAATATATATATACTAGGTGTAAGGCCCATATATTATACGGTTTGATTAGAACAAAATACTAAATACGAAGGAGTAAACCGAAAGTTTATTTATATTTAAAATTTGAAATAAGTGAAAATTATAAGAACAGAATGAAAAAAAATAATAAAAATAAACATACAAAAAGTAAATAAATAAAAATTACATGTTTAGTTGTCAGACCCGTGTACTAAACAGGTTATATAAAGCCTAACATAATCCATAATAGATGATGTAAGAAAGATGGTAGAGAAATTTGATTGTATTTTATTAAAAATGTGTTGTCTTGATGGTTTTATCCCTAATACTAGGTACATAAAGTCATATATATATATATATATATATATATATATATATATATATATATATATATATATTAGAAAATAAGATTTATGTATAATTGAATACGACCTCGGGAATCTCCATAATTGCTGGTGTAATTCCAACGGCATACAAAGGAAGAATGTTATAGGGTTCATATTGCTTTTTGTTTTCCTCTACATCACGTGCGTAGTGTTGAGTCTACAATGCCATAAAAGCATACATGAGCAATATGATATTTAAACTTACATTACAAATAGAAATCAAATACACCAATCATACCTTTGGCTCGAATTTGAACCAGGTACCACGTTCTTTAATACTTCATATAAAATAGTTGCAATCTGATAATCTTGGCCATCTCTTCACTTAAAGGTGACAAAAGCAAAATAACAAGATTAACAAGTAAGTAGATGATAATATCTTTAAGCATTAAACAAGCCTTACGGTTTCTTTAAGTATTTGTTGTCTTTGATGTTTCTCTCATAGAAGATCTGGTAGAATTTTTGGATTTCCTTAGCATCATTTTGTGCTAGTCTAGGTTTTGTCATTTCTTTTTCCTACACCAATAGAACATTTGAAATTGTCATTAGAATTTCTAAAAGTTTAATATTATACAAATAATTTGATATTAACTTAAAACGGTATTGTCATATTAATGTAACTAGTAGGATGTGAAAAACTAGCTAAATATGACAAAAATAGTGAAAATTATAACCTTCTCAAGTCTATGCTGTAGGTATGTCATGAACTGGCGAACACCACGTCCACTAGATTTGTTATCCATCCTATAAGCCTTCTCGTATGCAAGAAACCGGCCTAATGCAACCAATTAAAGGCATTAAATGTTATAAGCAACCATAAATCACAACCATCATTATGTGTATTTGTCACTTATTCATAATAGATAAAGAAATATTACTAGGAATATGTGATTGCATAAAATTAGTAAATGACACTTCTAATGTAGGCACATAGGGCGAATCCTTCATAGAAGACCTTTGGCATAGGAAATAAAGAAAAAAAACCCAAGCCCACACTTCGTATTTTGTGCACATGAAAAAGTCCACCCACAATGGAGAAATAAAAGTGTTGTGTACTAAACAAAAAACACATCTACCAATAAAAGATTAAAGTGAAGAGGATTAAGGGTAAACAGTATTAGGTAAATATTAACGGATACGTAAATAGTGAAAGCGGATACTAGCAATAAAGTAGAAAGCGGATACTAGCAATAAAAGATGAAAAATAAAAAGGAAACAACAACTAAGTAGTAAAAAACTACACGACAAGCATAAATAGTGATAAGAAAGCTAGTATATAGTTTACTCCCATACTACTCCACTATCCATAATTCTAAGCCTCCACACCCTCCTATCAGTGGCCATATCTTCTCGAAAAGAGTCACTTCTTCAAGTCTAACCTCACATTATCTTCTAACTTCCTTCTTGGGTGTCATTTACTCCTCACGCCTCTATGGTGACCATCTCCACCCCCTAGCCATAAAATTTTAGTTGTCTCTTATGAACATAACATATTCGAACCAAACTTTCTTTCATACAATTTCATTATAGTGGGTGTAATTCTCAAGTCTCAATGAATTTGTGATTCTCAGTTTCGCTACCCATTCTAATAATGTTCTACTATATGTCCAATTCAGCATCCTCGGTTCCACGACCTTTATCTTCCTATTGTGTTCCTTTTTAATCATTATTTAATTAATCCATAAAACATGATTAGTCTTACAATATCCTTGGACCTTTCTATTTTAACCATCCTACTAGACATGGCAATGAAGCAAGTTTTGACCTTGATATTATCAAACACATAAGTATCATAAGGGTTTAGATCTTAATTTTTTATTCGTATACCCGTTAACCATTTTATTAAAAGGTTTGGGTATGGATCATTACCGATCTGCTTCATTTATAACATGTCACTTATAAATATAAGAACTACAATTTTTAATTTTTAATTTACACGAACATGTTGATTTTTAATTTCAAATCCCAAGCCCAAACCACCAAAGGGAGGACCGACATAAAAAACTCCACCCTCAATGGAGAAATAAAAGTGTTGTGTACTAAAGAAAAAACACATACTAGCAATGAAAGTTTAAAGTGAAGAGGATTAAGGATAAACAGTATTAGGTAAATACTAAACAGATACATAAATAATGAAAGCAGATACTAGCAATAAAGCAGGAAGCGGATACTAGCAATAAAAGATGAAAAGTAAAGAGGGCACAACAACTAACCGGTAAAAAACTACACGACAAGCACAAATAGTGATAAGAAAGCTAGTATATATTTTACTTCCATACTACTCCACTATCATAATTCTAAGCATCCACACCCTCCTATCATTGGCCATATCTTCTCGAAAAGAGTCACTTCTTCAAGTCTAACCTCACATTATCTTCTAACTTCCTTCTTGGGTGTCATTTCCTCCTCACACCTCTATGGTGACCCTCTCCACCCTCTTAGCCATAAAATTTTAGTTGTCTCTTATGAATATAACATATTCGAACAAAATTTTCTTTCCAACAGTTTCATTATAGTGGGTGTAATTCTCAACTCTCAAAGAATTTTTGATTCTCAGTTTCGCTACCCAATCCAGTAATGGTCTACTATATGTCTAATTCATCATCTTCAGTTCCACAACCTTTATCTTCCTCTTGCGTTCCTTTTTAATCATCATTTAAATCCATAGAACATAGTTAGTCTTACAATATCCTTGGTCCTTCTTGTAAAACTCATGTGTGTGCTCTCTATTTTATAGACCTGGCAATGAAGCAAGTTTTGGCCTTGATTTTATCCAACACATAAATGTCATAAGAGTTTAGATCTTAATTTTTTATTCGTATACTCGTTAATCATTTTATTAAAAGGTTTGAGTATGGATCATTACCGATCTACTTCATTTAAAACATGCCACTTATATATATTAGAACTACAATTTTTAATTTCCCCAATCATGTTGATTCTTAATTTTAAATCCCAAGCCCAAACCACTAAAGGGAGGACCGACTACCAATACATAAGCAGACGAGAACTCGATAATTCATTCTCATTTTGTTTTTCCAAACTTTTTGGACCAATTTTCCATTTATAAATCATCAATTAGCAATATGGATCACAATCGAAAATCTGATATTCGCATTCACAAGTTATTCTAGCATCTTATCTAGAAATTGTAATCGAATGCAAAATTGGTTCTTGCACTTAAACTCTGTGACTCGCATCATGTTGAATCGCATACCTCAACTTCTTAACTTTACATGTCTACATGCTCTGATTCTTGTTTGATATAGTAGACATTTATTTTATTTAAGAAATTTTATTTTAAATATGAAGTAAATGTGATGCATGTTATATTTTATAGATAACACTTTATGGAATACAAACATTTTTGCAATCTTAATAATGTAAATGGGTTGGGCTAAGAAGTAGAATACTCATTGATTTGGGGATAAAGGTATGGGTTCGATTATTTAAAACCTTATGTGTTATGGATCAAGGTTGTTTCTCTCCAAACCTACTCTATTGCTAGGACCATGACTTTATGAAGTGGTAACGTGATCTTCAATACCGCTTCCTTATGGATCATAGACCCTAATATATGGAACTCTTTCCCTTAGTTAAAGTATTTTCTTACTAACTTGGTTTAAAAAAGCATGCTCATGGCCCGATACACACTAAGGTGTAACTATAAATGCATCAAACTAAGTGTTGTGATTTGATATCTATGATTCGAGTGGATGCATATGCATCAAGGTGCATACACGGAATCTCACATTTATGCATCCAAACACCTCATGGACTGGGATCACATAATTTATAATAATAATAATAAAAAAGTAACAACTAATTAAATATCCCATGTAATTGTTAAATTAAAAAAGCGCAAGTGTAGAAGAGAAAGAAGAGAGAATATATATATAGATATATATGATATATATATATATTATATAGCTATTCTCTATATATATATATATAGTAGAGAGAGAGAGAGAGCTAGGTTCATTGTTTAAACTAAGTATTGTGTTATGTATGCATAAATGTGGGTCAATCCAAAATTAAAGAAAAATTAACTAATTAAATAAATAAATAAGGGTAAATTTAGTCATTTGTTTAAGAACTTCCAAACAGAATCCCTATAATCTGGCTAGCCTTCACTCTTAACCTAATTTATTTTTATATACAGCCGTCGATAATGACCTGAAACAAAAGAAGGGCGGCCGTTAGCGGACCTTGTACATCGATAAAGGTGATAAAGGGCATCAGGAACGAGGAGAAGGAAAATGGCGCAGACGCATGGATTGCCAACATTATGTTACACTTTCACCCACTAATCCTTCCAATATACACCTCAATCTCACTCAACTAAATTCTGTACGAGTGCATACTTCAAAAATTAGGGCAGTCTGGCACTCGAAGTCGAAGAACACCCTTTTCCTTTGCCCCCAAACGCCATGCGAAGGACGCTTGATTCCAGGTGGTTGGGTGGATTCAGTCTAGGATTGATCTTGGGTTGTCTCGTACCGGTCTTTGCCATAAGCAAAGGATTCTCAGTTCGCCCCCTCAAGGTTTCTTCCTCACAGCTCCATTCCATTAATGGTCTTTTTCAATCTTCATTTAATACATAATTTCAATTTGTATACTAATTCGCACCAATCTCAATGGGTTCTTAGGTTTTTTATTTGGATTTTATCATGTGTGTGTCTACTATAGTTCTCTGGAAAAGGGGCCAAAAGCTTGAGAAGGGCCTGCTTGAAATTGCTCAAGAACAGGATGTTCTTGTTTATTGAAATTCTACCTTTAGATTCTAAAAATTAAAAATCAAAAACTGATCTATGTATATTTAACTTTGTAGCTTCAAACTAGTGTGATTTGAATAGACCATATGTTTTTTCTGTATGAACCAAAACAAGTTAACCATCATTTTAATTTGACATTCAAAAGTCAAATATTCAATAGAGGATAACGCACATCATGTTTACACTAGAATAATATCTCCATCTTTTTGAAATGAGTGTAGTAATATACATCAAGTTATGAATTTGTTATCCTTGTGCTATCAACATTCTTCATTTTGTAGTAATATCATGTTTGACTTGAATCGGTCAAATATTGACTTCTTTGACCTTGAATTTTGACAAGAATTCTATATTTAAGAATTTCATGCTTTTTAAGATTTTATTTATTTTTTATGACATTTTGTTAGAATATGTGTAATTATATTAAAATGTACAATTTCATAGCAGTTATTCTTATAGAATGCGTGAAGGAGACAGCTGATCAAGGGGCGTGAACGTGGGAATGGAATGACGAATTCCAATTCGTGGAATCACAGAAGTTAATGCTTGAAGAACGGACCACATTATTCTTTTAGAATGTATTAGTCGTTGTTAGATTTGATGTTTCTTCCCCGTTTTGATTGTTTTTTAGTTTTATTCTTTAACAATAAATGTATTCTTAACCAATTGTTCCCCGTATTATTCTATAAGAAATAATGTATTTTTTGTTTTTTATTCTTCAATTGGATTGTTCAAAGATTTTTGTTATTCTACAAGAAGTTGTTACTCTTCAAGAAGTTTTTAAAGTCATCATCAAGAAATAGGTCAAGAATATTTTTATTATTTATGGTTCAAGAATTATTTTATTTTGAATATACTCATAAACATATTCTGTCAGAATATCCGAATTAAAAAGAATTATAATTCGTAAAATCGAGGTTTAAAAAGGATAGAATCTATGAGCCCTTAAAAAATGCAATTTTCCTTATTAAATCTAGATTAATTGACTAAATTACCCTGGGGGAAAAAGGATAATTTTTCAATTATAATTATTTCAAGAGGTATAGGAAGCATTCTTTCAAAATAAGGAAATTTGAATGGCCCACATTTCTGCATACAATAACACAATAATTACTTTAAACAAAATAACTAATGCCGAGAGATATAGCTATATATATTATATATATATATATATATTATATATATATAATAAAATATATATATATAATATATAAATATATATATATACCATTTTACAAACTTTTACATTTTTAATCTCTTAGTAAACTTTTGTTGACCTTCATGTCACATCACTTTCCAAACTTTTACATTTTTAATCCCTTATTTGCTGCCAGCTAAAAATACGATATTCCTATGACTTTTGGCTTTTGTTTTCACGATGTTTCCACAATTAACAAAAAAAAAAAAGACCCGGGACAAAGCCGGGGGTTTTTTACTACTTAATAATAAATATAACACAATAGCTATCAAACAAATAAAGTTATTCAAAATACCTATTTGAATTTTTGTAAGTTTTCTATTCTTTATAAGATTTTTAACAAAGTTATTATATATAAGATTTTTAACACAAATCGATCGAAAAGGTCATATATATAGTATATGATTAGGATGTTGATTTGTAATTATATATTTTTAACAAATGAATTTGGTATTTTTTTTTTGTTTTATTAAATAACAATTAATAAGTAATATTAAAGCATTTTCCTTTTATATGTGTTGTGGTACTTTGAGTTTTTGAGCTCATAACCTACTCTGTCATTCAAATTTTATCATATCTAAGTTCTATTAATTTAACGAGAGGAAGAGTGATAGAGAAAAAATAAGAAAAAGCGAAGAAATTTACAAATTTAGCGGGGATGAGAGACATAGAGCTCATCAGCTACCGAGGTTGCTGGTCGGAATTGCAGATCAGCAAACAACGAAGATGAGAGATAAAAAAGTACACATCTTAGCGGTTCTTTTTTGTCCAAATAATAAGTCCTACATATGATTACTTTTTTTGTTTTCTTATAGAGTTTTGGTTTTCTTAATCAACCCAGAACCTAATTTTTCTAGGATTTGTTTGGTTTTTCAATAATTTTTTGAGATTTTGTTAACTACTAATCTATTTTTCTTACCTATTATCCCGATGTCTAAGGAAAGATAATGATATAAAATTGATTTTCAAGCTTTATTGAAGTTAATTACTATATAATCTAAAATTAATAATTTTCTTGAATTGCATAGCATATATGAAGATATATCATGAATTTGTAGGGGCCAAAAAGTTATGAAAAATTAAAACTACATTTATATACATTTATTTCAGGTATAATAACATCAAAAATCAGGGCCCTAAAGACGTTCCGCCCCAGGGTCCCAGCAACGGCTCTCCACGCTTGTGTGCCTCTTTCCTCTCCATCCAGCTCCCCATCCAATTTGTTTTAATTTTCTAGACTATTTCAAGGTTGTCTATGTTAATGAACTTTTGAGGATAAGATATTGAATTTTTCTTTTCTCTCTATTTTCGCTTTCCTTTTTTCTTTACTTTTACAATGCAGCATTTCTACCAACTTATGCATTTTCATTTTTTTTTTTTGTGAATACCTCAAAAGAAAAGTCCATCATTCTTTATTTAGTAATCCAAATTAATCTCTATGCATGTCCCTTTTTCCCAAAAGAATATATCAATCAAATTTTACGGTAACTAAAATTATACTATACAATGCAAAGTTGAAACAAAACTTATATTCTAATTAAACTAATCAAACCAATTTCAAGCAGAAACCAACTTAAGTAACTCCCAAGATTATTCCATTTTTCGTCTCATGATAACAAGGATCACCAAAAGACCCTAATTCATTAAGAGGTTAGACCTACGACTAGGTATCTCATCAGCAAGGTTTGAATCCCATTAGGTAGCTATAACTCCTTAAAAGCCACGCAGAGGCACCAGAAGGACTACATAGTACTAGAGACCATGGATCTGTGTGATTTGCTATTGTAATTAAAAGTAATTAGTTATTATTCTGATTCATTCTATTTATAGAAGCAATCTAGTCTGAATCAATATATTCTCTATTCATTCACTTTAAAAACTCATCTCCACACCCAAAATTATAAGAAATTCTGCATTTTATAGGAAAGGAAGAGTCAAATATAGTAAGGGGAAACATACACAAGTAAGCAACTCTGTCATTATCCTTCTCGATCTCATTGGCAACCCGAAGGATAGGAGCAATAGAAGCAAGGGAAGAAGGGACAAGCTCACTGTCAACAATAACATCGGCATCATCAGGTTCATCCATAGCGGAAATCCTCGTCATCCTCCTTGACATCGACCTCGGTGGACCCAACTCATCTTTGGTCCCACTCGTACTCGCCATTCCTGCCCCCCAACTCCGTCAGAACCCCTGATATCCACCTGAAAGTTATTGGAATTGTCTCTCCATCCACCCTGAACGCTGCTGAAAATTTGTACACGAAAACAATATTTGTATCTCTTAATATTGATATAAAGAGTGTGTAAAGATCCTTTGCTTGTTAATTTGGGGAATTACTTAGCTTTCAGTGCGTTTACTGATAGCAAGTAAAGAATGAAGCATTTCTCAACTTTTTATCAAGGTAGGGACGAAGAATATATATATATATATATATATAATATATAATATATATATATATATATATAATATAATATATATATATATATATATATATATACGGTTAGATTCATGTGAGACGGCCTAATTTTGTGAGACCGTGAGATGCATTTTTTTATTTTTTTTATTCTTTTTTATTTTTTTTAGTTAATTCAAGTTCCGAAAATAATATTTAAGAAAAGAATTTTTGGATTTTTTCATTTATTTTGCATTTTAAAATTATTTTTTAGAATATGTACTGTGTAATATTCTATTAAAATATTTCACGTATTTTTCAAAAAAAATGGGATTTTTTTTTATTTTTTTTTATTTTTTTTTAGTTAATTCAAGTTCCGAAAATAATATTTAAAAAAAGAATTTTTAGATTTTTCCATTTATTTTACATTTTAAAATTGTTTTTTAGAATATGTCAGTGTAATTTTCTATTAGAATATTTTACGTATTTTTCAAAAAAAAGGGGGATTTTTTTTATTTTTTTTAGTTAATTCAAGTTCCGAAAATAATATTTAAAAAAAGAATTTTGGATTTTTCCATTTATTTTGCATTTTAAAATTATTTTTAGATTTTGTCTCACGGTCTCACAAAATTAGAATGGTCTCAAATGAACCTGAACCTATATATATATATATATATATATATATATATATATATATATATATATATATTCAAATGAAAACATTTTGTAAAACAAGAACAATTGAGAATAAATTCCAGCCACAAATTCGCTGTACATCTAAACTACTAAGATATATATTATTTATTATATTTTTATTAGACAAAAGCTCTATCCATATACCCACCTAGCAGCTACCACTCCCCCACCATAGAAACTTATTGTATTCTCTCTCATTTTATTTAAAGTTACACCACCACAGGACCACCATATGGCCGCCGTCGGACCACTATATTGTCGTCATCGGACCACCGTACTGCCGCCGCCGGAACCACCGCACCACCGTTGGTATACCATCGAAACAACTGGAACACTGTCGAAACGACCAACACATTGTCAGAACGTTGCCTATTCACTCTCTCTAAATCGTTTTGTCACTTCATCTTTTCACCTCCACTCATTCGATCGTCGGAAACTACCTCCCTCCGCCTCTCCTTCTTCTTGAACCACCTCTTTGAATTAGCCGAAAAAACATCTGGTATGAAACTACCTTCTCATAACCATCTCCGTCTTGTCTCCTCTCCAATCTCGCTTTCACCGGCCACTAGATCTGGTGTTATCGTTATTGATTCTGGATCTACAGTCGAAAGCCTCCAGATCTTGTTCACGAGCAAACAAGATCGTTGGACAGAGATAATTCTGAGCATATCTCCGACCATCACTCCGATGAAACCTAACAACTTTCGCAGTAAGTATAGACCCTTATATCAGCAACAACTATCGTTTTTGTTGCTCGGGCTGCTGTTGTGGACAAAATCTCCAAAAAGGAGAACAAACAAGAGCAAATTAATCTCACTTTCTATCTCTTCCAGAGAAGAAAGGTTTAAAGAAACAAGAAAGGCTTAAAGAAACGTGTAAAACCCAATCTGAATGTGTATCAATCGAAATCACTAAAATTGATGTGGAATCCCAATCTAGTGAATACCACAAATCGTAATAAGGAACAAGAACACAATTACCAAATCTTCAATGCACACTATATTGATGATAGTCTAGTACATAAGATGATGAATTACTCTCGGTTCTCTCTGTTTTTCTCTCTTGAACTCGATATGGATATTATGGAAATCCCCTGTTACATGTCTTAAACAAAACAATATATACCTAGACCTAATACAAAGCCCAGCCCAAAGCCCAACCGAAATCATTAAGAGATTTCGGTCCACACAACACCGAAACCATGGTGTTTTCGGTACTTAGACCGAGAACTCTAAAAGCTATGAAAAGCAAAGTATAAACCACAAATTTTATTTCCTAACAGTCTCCCCCTTGGTTTATAACTTTCTTTTCTTTTCAGTCTTCCTTGAACTTGACTTTCAGCTCTTTCCTCGATCTCTTCATGACTTGACTACAAGATGTACATATGAATCTTCTATATGAATAACTTCATCTTTAGTAGTTGGGCTTCCCTGAAATTTAACTTTAAACGCACATTGGGTATAGAGGCTTCTTGTAAATCAGCACTTCGCAGGTAGGCCCACTTAGGTTAGAGGGGTATTGCTCACTTTCAGCTTTGAGAAACTTCATAGACAATAACAGACAGACTGATTCTTTTGGATCACTTCAGCAGACTCATAAATAGCAGCAAATTGATTGAGGAGGCTTCAATGCAATTCGTCACATAACTTTAAAAACAGTTTCACCTTGCTTCTAGGGTTGAAAGATTGTGAGTTGAATAATAATCTTCACTTCTTGTTCCTTCAAATGAATATTCTTCGTCGATCATGGATGCGTCTTAAAAATAACCATGACTAAAAAATTTATATGGATCACAGAGTCATAAAGACCCTTCTCACCACAGTTGTTCAAGGACCCATCCTTGGCTCAGATGGAGACTACTCGCAGTATTTATGTGAACACGGAGGAACGCACTGCGATTTGTTGAGTATCGAAGAACTACTTGTGGCTATTTTTTATGTTAGCCCCTACATATCCTCGATCAAATATCTCAATACAGCTTTTCAAGTTAACAAGTTAACTTGGCCCTTGGCGAGACGTTCATCGATAATCGTGTCTTGCGAAGTGCATCGCCCTAGTGCCATAACAGTTCTTATGTAAAGATAACTGACAATACCTCTTGACAATCTGTACAGTTTCAGGCTTTTAATTCCTTAAATACGACAGTTCTTAGAAAGATATTGTCTAACTGACAGTTTGTACAGTTGCAAGCCTTCAATTCCTTGTGAAAGTAGTGTGAAGTGTAATAACCATCAATTCCTTTCCAAATTTCTTCTCCTTGCTAAGAAATTTCCGATACAGTCTCCTTGAGTCTCTTCTTCTTTTGAATTCTCCTTGAGTCACTGCTTCCTTTCGAATTCGCGTTTTAAGACAAATGAAATTTTGAGATAAAAGTAAAAATAAAAATAAACTTAGCACACAATAAAACAACTAGGAATAAAAATAAAATTAAAATACGCTCAAAACAATATTTTTGGATTTTTGATTTTTCTGAAAAATAAATAAAAACAAAAATAAACATATTTTTGGATTTTTTTTTAATTTTATGATTTTTGTTTGGTTTTTTTAATTATCCCCCTAAATTTGTGTATAGAGGAAAATTATGAACAAATTTAACAAAAACAAAAATAAAATAAAATAAAACATACACATTTTAATAATTAAATTTAAAACATTTTGGGATCAAAAGTTGTCAAGTAATTTAATATCGTTTCTCAGCACACACCTGCATGAATAACTCTGGTCAATCACCAATATTGTGGTCCACTTAAACACAAAGGATATTTTCAAGTTAGACAGATTATAAGTGACAAGACATTGCAATTATATTCCTAAATAGACCATTTTGCTGACGATGACCAAGGATATTGTTATCCACTTAAATTCAGCAGCGAGATCTACAATCAGCCTTTAATCATGAACCAATTTAATTTTAAGCGCACTAGAACGTGTTCCCCACTTCACGACGTACCCTAGCAATCAAGGAATTCCAAAGAGTTCTTTACTTTAGGTGAGTGTTCAGTTATTTGAGAGAGAAGATAGATATAGAGATGCATATGTTGTATCTCAGGTCGGATCTCTTCCAATCACGCAGAGGGACAACATATGACTAACATAGATAAAGGGATAGAGAAATAGAAAGATGCATATGTTGTGTCCCAGGTCGGATCTCTTCCAATCACGCAGAGGGGACAGCATACGACTAACATAGATATATAGAGAGATGCATAGATAGAGATGCATAGAAATAGAGATGCATATGTTGCGTCCTAGGTCGGATCTCTTCCAATAACGCAAAAGGGGAAACATATGACTGACATAGAGGATAAGAAAGAAAAACAATTTCACACAAACCTACTTTATCAGAACCCCCCAGTCACCCTATCAGCACCATAATTAAGGACATAAGTCTGTACGTCGAAGAAGTGTTGAGCCACAGTTCTAGATGATAAGTAGCTTTAATGTATCTCGTAGGCTCCCTTGTTTATCTCACTACTCAATCTATCCAAGCCTCATATGGTC